GAGGGAGGTACCATACACTAATCTGGATTCAATGGTCACAGTGGATGCACATGATCACTCCAACAGATTCAGACCGAGAACTGACAATAAGCCTAACGTCTTCCAATGTCTCCGCATTTGCAATGAACAGTACCCTATTAGGAACGATCAACAACAGAGGCCAAAAGGATGCGATCAGGTCGCTGATGAAAGCCATTAGGTTCCGGAATCAAGAGAAGTGTATAAAGAAGCAAAGTTGTCAAGTGTCATTAAAAAATGCTAACTTTTATCCCTGTAACTGAACGCTGGACTTATGCGGCTCGCGGTAATTCGACATTTGAATTGTGTTCAGTACAATCGGCAGAACGTTAACTAAACGGATCGGAGATGATGAGTGGCAGGTAGTCCACGTGCTTCCGTTCCAGCGAAAGCTCCTACCGGTAGTCATAAACAAATGATATCGGCAACTGTCGCCTCTCCATCGATATACCGAACATGCGGACATGGATACTTCCACACAATCGAGGCATCAGCACAACTCATAATAAGCCACTTAGGTAATCTTGAAATTAAAGCCTACTTTAACCATAACAGTGATCGCTTTTCGAGTTGCCTCACTGTGAACTAGTTCAACAGTCTGGTATGTGAAGAAATAGCACTCACAGTCAAACGCAGTAGCTATCTTCTAGCTTAGGTGCACGCAAAATGTACTCTCACTAAGATTTTGTACAAGGTGTCAATCAAACAGATAACGCCAGTTCACCACATGTGGGTTGGTAAGTGATAACCAAACCTAAACGAGCGCATGTGGGAATAGCCAGCGAGCACTTTGGAACGGCGGATCAGTGTTGAATCGGGGATACGGTCCTCTCACAGTTTTTAACTCCTCCAGATGACTCGGCAACGATTCACAGACCAGTGAACTCGAGTTAGGCTGCAGTTGATGACACATCAACAGGGTTTGTAGATGCTCCGCCTGATGTAACTGAACCAGAGCGATGACGGACGCGGTTCTATTGAGGAACAGTCACTCAGCCGTCCGGTAAAGTGACCGTTGTACCTTGTCTACCAACATCTAGCAGCTCCACTATTGGCGTATAAACACCTTTAGGTGGCCGGTTGTCAAATCTCGCTATTGTTGTCATTCGTTTGGCGACGTGTCAAAGCAACTGGATCCACCGCAGCTGAGAGTGAGGGTCATAGCTGACAAACTAGATGGAACGGAATCAACAAGAAATGAAATCCTTAAGTTGACGATCGATTCAGTAACATGGTTGGTGAAACTAGCTTGGTGGCGAATCAAAGAAGGGGCTTGCAGACAGGGAAGAGAGAATGGAAACTAATTTTGTGTCTGGATTCGACTCACCGGGGGCTCATTTTGTGGTACACCACATGGTCCCATGATACCATCCGACCAATCTTGTGACACCTGGGTAGACGATCTTCAGTGCGCCGCGGACACTAGGAATGACTGTGCTTCAGTCTAACCAGTCGAAAATTCCAAAACTCATGTGCTGGTCGGTTGCGGAGTGGTGGCCTTGTAGGCCTTCCACGTTGTGTCTTGGAGGCGGGCACAAGTAGCGCCAGTCTCATTCGCTTCTTCTGTCGATGACGCCCTAAATCGGATCGAAAGTATTGCCAGGTGGAATACGCCCAAGAAAAGTAGTTGATCACCTAGATATGGATAATTACGTCTGGTCTATTGATAATTTTGCCCTGAAGACAGCCAATATGACTGATAGCAGTGGGATTGATTTGGGTCCATGGAGAGTTTTCAAGCGGAATGGGCATCCCCGGCTCACCACTGGTTGATCGGTTCTCACGAATGCGCAAGCCTGACTGTTGATCACCACTCAGTAGCGTTGAGCGGCCTTAGTTGGTTGACTGATGCGTTTATTAAAAATACACATTGCATGCTACCGGAGTGCAAGAGGCAGAGTAACCCCTACGCACACCACTCGTCGTAATACTTTAGACAAGTTCCTTGTACATCCTGATGACACAGAGATTCTAGGATGGAAAGAAATGTTTTCTACAACTGTTTCTCGATCACATCACGACTATGATTGACAGAGGAATGGCAATTATTATAATTCTGTTGGACATGCAAAAGGCGTTCGACCGCGTGCCACACCAGCCACTGCTGTCTGCTCTAGTCATATAGAATTGGAAATCCGCTGCTTAAGTGGTTCGACTCATACCTAAACGGTCGAACTCAAGTCGTTAAAATCGGTCAGCAATATTCTACACCGAAGCCAATAACCAGCGGTGTCTTCCAGGGATGTGTGCTCGGACCGCTACTTTTCTTAGTCAACGTAAACAATATATGTGACCCGATCAAACATGGACACCCATTTCTGTTTGCAGATGATGTCAAACTGGTTTACTCATTTCATCCTGACCAACTACGTATGTGTTTGAAGAACATCTGTGAAGACCTGTCCGCAATAAATATAGCTAGTGAGCGTTTATTAATGAAGTTCTCCGCAGTGAAATCCCAAGTACTTGGGTACAGATGCCGCATCCCAGGAGGCTCCATTATACTTGCCGGAAACGTGATCCCAACATCTGATTCAGTTCGGGACTTAGGTATTAGATACTCCAACTCTTTCAATTTCTCCAAACATGTTCTTTATCAAGTTGCGAAAACAAGGCAGTTATGCGGATATATCACCAGAATTTTTTCCCTCCCAGAAGCACGAGTTGAGTAGTTCAATACAATAGTACGACCGACTGGAATAGTGTACTATAGTTCATACTCAATTGAGAAAGACAGAACGGCTCTGGAAAATGTCCAACGATCATTTACCAAGCTGGTCATGGGGCGCTGCTCAAACCTGACTTATTATGATCGCTGTCGAAAACTCCAGCTGGATCCAATTTGGCTGAGACGCTTAAAGAACAACCTCGATCTCTTCTACAATATTATAAACCCACGAATTTACGCAGACAGCACCGCACTTGAACTACGGAAGACTGCAGTCTACCCCACACGTAATGGCGGCTACCTGATACGTACAAACCTTTCAAGTCATAAAATTCAGTCGAATTTCTTCTTAGTGAGATACACTTATCTGTGGAACAAACTACCCCTACAGATACACATGTGTACAAGCCATGTCACGTTTCGAAATCTCCTTCAGACCTTCCTCACTATACCAAATGCTTTTAACAGATTTGACTCACAGCAAACACTAGAAACATTGACAGAAGTTGGTATAAAAAACATATGAGAAGACAATCGCTTACAGCTAGCTTACCCCCTACATGTCATTACATACCATATCAAATCCTGTGTCTTTGCAGCCTAGTAGTTCCTCCCTTTATTATCTACTCCTGATGATACAAACATCCGTAAATTTTACATATGAGTTGCACAGGTCTAGGACTCAAGGAAAAATAATCATGATCCGAAATGCTATTAATAAACTTTTCTTTAATGTTATGAAACGTATTCACTATACAAATAATCGCTCGCACTTATGGGGCCGTGTACCGTCTGTCGGTAAATATACAAATTTATTTATTTAGACACGGCGACAAACAGCACTAAGCAACGTTCAAGTGCACGAAGACTATCATGATAGCTTGATTAGCTACGCGGTACGTATTGTGTCAAATGGCGGTGGCGCCGAGCATTCCTTTTGAATAAGTACGTCTCTGAAATGTGCATATAAGATTGGAGTGTCCTGACTAACCGATGTGATTCCCAGGAGTTACACTGTCATCTAGTGAGAGACAGAAGTTCGTATTGTAAGCAGAACGAGGGTCTGCGGTAAGATTTCCCCGCTTCTCGCCATCACTAAAGATGTTCGACGTGCCTCTCCAAATCTCAGCAGATGAGGAAGCTATAGTGTTCTGATGTCGCCTTGCTTGTTGGTTACCTTCAGAGCAAACACGTCCAACCGGTGATCCGCATGCGACATGCAGGCTGTTGCAAGCAAACCCGTGACCTAAATTGCAATTTTTACAACGTACATAGGATAAATGTAGTACGCTTTGCTATATTCGGAACACATTTTGCAACTAAAAGTAGTTTATCCCATTTTAACCGGTTTCAACTGCACAAAAGAAATACGATTGCATCTACGAGGCAAGTAAGCTAAAACTTCTATAAATAGTAGGGCGATAACTATTGACACCCCACATCTATCCTGACCATGCCTGTTTTTCCGGGTTTTCACTGGTTGACTGCGGCGCACGCGCTACTCGAGACGTAGCGATTAGGCGTGACTGACATCACGTGACTTGCTAACTGCACGCAATCGAATGTCAATATCAGAGGGCCAATGGAGTCAAACACAGCGCGGAGGGCGGATGAAGTGAACGAGAACGAGTATCAGCACAGTAACTCACTGAGTAGACCAGTACTAAGACGATTGCAAAAAGATGTGGTGCACCCCGGTTTCCTTTACTGCAACGACACGGGTGATAGGACGGTAATGGAACGAGTCCGTCCCATCTGAGAAATTTCTGGCGTTGCTAGACACGTATATCCTAACACATGAATTAGACAGATTCATCTGGTTGTATTCCACAAGTTGTAACCGTTGAATGACGTTTTATTTTAGGGTATCGAATCAAACAAAGAAAAGCCCCATTAAGTCACAGACGGTAAGTGCATCGACAAACAGCGGCGAGGCTAAAACCAATGGAGAATGTCACGTGATTTGGGCGTGTTAGTTTGGATTGAAGGCGATCGATAATCAAACCAAAAGCAGTGTCCTTCGAATGGAAACAAAGCGGAGATGAATCAAATCGCGCAGTGCAAAGTAACCGGATTTGTACCTGAATCAAATGGAAACAAGTGGACGGGCCAACCTGAGTGCTCACTTAAATGCCCGCTTGGGGTGCAGACGGACATTTTAGTCTCCAATGAATCGGATTAAGATGCATGTGTTTGTGCCTTCTGTAGTCTGAAATATTTCTCTAGCTAGGAACGGCTCAGTGTCCAAAAGAATCCGTTGATAGAATATGAAAATGCGGAGCGTAAGATCACCCCATATGTTGAGGAATGATGGCGGGATAAAAGGAAAAAACTGTCAATTATGAGCCGAATCACATACGATATTCTGACCTTGTTTCAAGGATGAGTTAACGCAAATGCACCGCTCGAGAGTGCATGTTCTTAGCTTTCAGTCGAGAAATGTCGAAAACGCGCGTGAACGTGTCCGCACTGTAGTGATAATAAAAAGCGCCATCAAGAGATGAGAGGAGCGGACCGGCACCTGATGTCTGTAATGGCGAGTGAAAATCTCAAGCGCGGCACCGAAGAGACGAATAAAAATAACAGATCGGAGCATCACAGTGGTGGTATGTGAAAGGTTACATCTGAATAATTCGTGTATTAACACAAAGAGAGGATATGAGAAAGCATTTGGAAAAAAATTCGTGCGTACACGACTCGTGAACGAACGAAGATAGTTGAAACATGTGATTAATAATGTGAGAAAAGATAGGTAACCAAATCAAACTGCACATTGTAAAAGATGTGTTGAAAAGCAGCGCCGAATAGAATCGATATGACTAGGGGTACGAACAGAGAAGGAATGAAAAAAAACGATGACACGACGAAAGCACAAAAAAGTCATCACTCAAGTCTATTGCGATGTTTGGGCAGAATGAAAGGTGCCGTGATATTTTGGGCGCTGAGATGAGGTCACGACACCGCGCCTACCAAAAGAGCGGAGACCACAAGAATGGGGTCCACATCAGACTGGTAGCGGCCAGCCCGAACAGGGCTGCATCTGCGTAACTGTATCCACAACCGCAGTTGTAACCGTGGCGACAACGGCAGAGGACTTCGTTCCCGTGGCCCAGTATTATGGTGCGCGATCCATCTGGATGTTCGATGACCTGTTCCGGAACGACCAGTTCACCGTCTGAACCACGATAAACCGTCTATATGAGATGAAATAAAGGGGGAAAGATGTGAAAACAACTGTAGACGATGAAGCAGCGTATTCAAACAGACAAAGAGTGGGGGTGCAGTGGTTTCCCGCAATCGAATTAGGTACACCGATTCGTGTCGCTTGCATGTGAAATGATCATTCGAGGTTAGCCAAGGGAGGAAACAACGCAAACACGAAGGAAGACGTGCGCCATCGATGGAAACAGCAAAAGCCTTTTGTAACAGTGCTTTGCTGTTACACGGCCGCAAATGAAGACAAAAACCCCTGATGTGAGGAATAAAAAGAGGAACTAACTGAAATTGGATAGCTAAGTCAACACTTTGCAAACATGCGGTCAAAAACAAGCGATCAGTGTGTGAGAATAGGGCTGCATGTATGAGACAGTTTTCAAGTGGCATTCATCAGCTTTCATCATAAGAAATCCTATTCAAAAGGTAAATTATTACTACACACACGTTAAACAGTGTCCCGATAGGGACACGACCGCGAGCGAGCCATTGGTGCATATTATGCGCGTTTTTCTGTAGCGTCTTGAGCCAAACACAAGGCGAAATGCAAGGAAGCCCAGTCCAAAGGGCGAGACAGATCTGTACTAATCAAAATGGCGCTCAACAGCATTAGTTCCCAATGTCAAACCAATGTTCGCTCTTCGTAAGCCGCATCCTCTAGTCCCTCTTGACGAGCAGTGAACAGACATAAGTAGAATTTCCTAGATTACAATTGTCAGGTTTTGCAGCGCTGCTTGCGAAGCTCAATGGCCGAGCGATAAATGGCGATAATTACCAACCATTAGGCCCGAGTACCAATCCCCAGATCAGGCTATCACTAACTGATGAGTCCAAACATGGACGAAAGGTGTCGTGCAGTGAAGTGATAGGAGAGAGCAACACCGAAACCTTTCATTCCCAAATTTTATTAGCTGTATCAATGAACGAGGTTGGTCACCGTCTCTATGCAAATATTCGCAAGCACAGCGATGTCGCGGGACGCAGGTAACTTTATAAACGACCGTAGTTTAAGATGTGATGAGTGCCGGAATTCCCAGACGAAACGGCAAAGTCCAAGTGCCACAGAGGAAAACGGCCCTGAATATATGGAGAGAAATTCTATCCTGGCGTCAAACATGCGCAGATCCATAAAGATAGTTCAAACTCTCGTAATAATTGGGCCGACTCCAGCAGTCGTGCCAAACGGCGTAGAGAGATCAAGTGTCTCTAGGTCTTTATTATTAGGGGTGGACAACCTGGGAACTGCTGTGGTTCTGAAGCAGTGCCTTGAGTTTTGAAGACAAAATGTGCAACCTGAAAAATAGGGTTTCCCCAGCGGAATTTGTGTAAATGGATGAATACGCTGTTTAGTGACTAGTAAACAATAAAACGATGCCGTCCGCATAATCCAGATTGACCAGTCACCCTCAAATGACAGTTCAGTGTCTCAAAGAAATGCCACTCCATGACGAGAATGGGATAAGAGTGGTATTCTTCCCAGTGAGGATACGGATGTAGATAGCAATGCTTAATGCAGTTGCCATCTTTCACGTTGGGAATTATGAAAGGGGCGAGTGGGATGGATGGACAAGAAAGAAGGAATCAGTAGGTAACTCTGCTACCGAGTACCCACCATATTCCATTAAAAAGAAATGGCAGATGTGAAAACGCATGATTAGGGCGAAAATTAGTGATAGCCATCGTTGTGTGTTTGTCATAACACCGTCGTGTGTCAAGTACCTGAGCGCGAGACTACCAAAGAAAGCGTCTGACTCAGAAGCCTGACCCCAAAGCTCAAGGGAGTTGATAACCGCTCGCAAGATAGGTTATCTTCACAGAAATAAATGCCACCTCACTTCTAACACACGGTGGGGAGGGCTGAAAGATCGGATCTGTTTGATCTCTAATTACAGGCGAATCAGAAAACAACGTATCTAATAACGACAACCAGTATAAGTAAATGTGTCGGAGATACGTAAACCGTCCAGTGAAGTACATTCGTGATCTACCGTCGATATGATTCTAGGCGTCAAAGGAGCCGTCGATTTATGTAATTGGCGCGCCTTTGGGACTGTTGGATCTAGAAGAGTATCCCCCATGAATACGTATACATTAGCAAAGCGCTTTACACGCATGTTTCAGGCAGAATGAGGGCTTATGACAAACTGCTGCAATCTTTCAATATCTGCAGCGGTGAGACAGGAATGACTGCTGTCACCTTTCCTTTTCCAACTTTGCCATGGAGACTGCGTCTACCGGACTCATCATCACCAGTATACACAGCTGGAGGTGGGAAACACAGCTATCATGCTGCAATACAAAAGAAAAGAAGAAAATGCAACTGAGGTACGCCGGCCGTCACCAGTAACGGATGGACATCAGTCCGGAGAACTAACAGCCGGCCGCAAAAATGTGTTATATTACGCCTAATTAATGAGATCGTAGATGGAGAGGGAGGCTAAACGGGACGGGGATGGACAAAGAAACTCACAACACAAATGCCAATGATGTCGGCTCCTAGCCATGTCTACAAGTGTGTCCAGCCAAACGGCGTCCGCAGCTTTGGCGGACGTCATGGCGAAGCCAGAGAAAGTGAATTTGCCTCCAGACGGACGACTTCTCGACTATAAATGCGCCAACGATATTAACCTAATCTGAGATAGCATACAGGATGATAGGCAGCGCTGAAAAAAACTATTGCTGGCTGTTAATCGTTGCGGACCGTGCTTTGCAACCCCCAGAATGGAAACCTTACCCAAAGATTGGAAGGGATCAACCACTGCAGTAACTTTTGGTGGGGGTCAACAAATGGTCGTCCAAGAATTCAAATACCTTGGCATCTGTATGAACGCATGCGGGATAGGAGGTTACACCACAAACCGTATAGCAGAAGCCCGATGCACCACTTATGGCACCGGAGCGATATCATACTGCATCCATTCAACCCTCTCGTATAGTTGTGAAACCCGACTCACTAGATCGACGTATGCAGATGTAATCGCGCTCGTGGTTTAGTTCATATCTGGTGGGAACACCGAATGAGCAATGAGTGTGCTCACCGCTTTGTTTATGGCACAGGGGAAGCAAATGAACCGCTCAGCACTATTAGTTAGCACACCACGCATCGATGGCTGGACCATGTGTTATGCATGCCAATACACCTACTACAGCGATGCGCGTTCTTTGAGCAGCCGGAGTGTTGACAGGAAGGAAGGTCAACTGAGGACTTGAACAAAAGAAATGAAAAATCTCACATCGAACTTGGCGTCCGGTGGTGTCTCCCGACTGCTGGGCTGGGGTCCTAAGGACGACGAACAGATGTGTTCAAGACACTTGTTGATATGGCAAAAAGTCTACTTTCTGCTTGTGCTGTGAGCTTCTTTTTCGTTCCTGCTCCAACCACAATCTCAATGCGCAACAAAAGCGAAGTATAATAATATCCGTTTCTCTATAATCATCTGTGCGACTTGTTTTGCATCACAATAGCCTCGGCCCCGACCTCTAGCTAACATGTACTATGATGCTGAAGAACGAAGCGCAATGGGGCGGTTTGCTAAATTTCGAGCCAAACGACAGAAAACCGTAGGTAGGATGGAACCGAAACGAAAACGAAACAGTTAGGTGCATGCGACAAACGATAGAATTGAATACCAGAGCTCACGTTACGTCGTGTCAGACGGCTGATAGGGTCGGATCGGTGAACATCGTATATAAAAACAACGGTGACCATGGCGGATATCCCTTTACAAACTCCCGCACTTTGCTTTGCCTCGTCACAACCACGCACGGTTCCTTATAAACCGGTGCAAGTTCAGCACACCGACTCCCACAACGTGCATTGTTTGCGCGTTGTGGGTGCGGTTGGAAGAGAAGCAGAGGAGGCCAAGTGATGACTTGGTAGAAAGAAATGAAAACCCTCACTTCGAAGTTGGCGTCGGTTGGTGCATCCCGAGTGCCTGGCTGGGGTCCTAAGGACGGTGAACACGTTTGGTTGCATACACTTGCTGATATGGCTTGGAGCCGGCCCCAATGGCGTTTGTGTTGTGAGTTCCTTTGTCCATCCCCCTCCTGTTTAGCATCCCCCTGCAATCACGATCTCAATCGTTAGGCATAATATGACTTTCTTTTACGGCAGCCAGTTGTTAGCTCTCCGGAACGATGTCCATCCGTTACTGGGGACTCAGCGGGCGTGCCACTGTTTGTTTGTATTTTTCTTTTCTTGCCTTTTGTATTGCGGCACAATAGCTGAGGTGTTTTCCACCTCCAGCTAACGTGTAATGACGATGATGATGATGGTGCAAGTTCAGGTTGATATGCTTGAATCACTGCATCTGATTGCCTAACAACTATATGCAGACTGCTGATGGTTAACATAGGACTGTGCTCGTTGTTGTAAATAGGCTGATTTGAGAAAAACCCCAAGTTGACCAGAGAATGACATGAGAAGAAGGGGTAAGCTAGGTTAAAAAAAATATACGGTGTTGGAGCGTATAGTCCCTCTCTATATATGAGCCCCGGGTAGGTTGTGTCAAGTAGCAGGAACGTTTGTGACACTGGTTCACGTGAAGTTGGCGTATTTTAGTTGTCATCATCATCATCATCATACACGTTAGCTAGAGGTGGGGAACACCTCAGCTACTGTGCCGCAATACATAGAAAAAAGGAGAGAAACAAAGCAACTGGTGCAAGCTGGCTGAGCTACCGGGAACGGATGGGCATCGTTCCGGTAAGCTACCAGCCGGCTGCTGCGCACCAAAAAAAATTACTATGCAAAATTATATAAGGGCATTTTAGTTGTATGACATGCAGTCCCAAAATTTTAATGTCTTTGAATTCTCAATTGACCGTTTCACCTCCTTTTAGTTCTGTCTCATTATCACTGCTTTCAACAAGAAACACGAAGTAATACGGCGCAGTTTAAACAACTGAACCACCATGCTTAAATTGAATAAGATCGTGACTTCATCTAGCAGGGGGTAATATCGATGTGCTAAAGAAAACAAGTTCAATGCAACTACACAGATTAAGAGCAAGTTAACCAACGTAACTCAGTCTTATGGAGGCGGATAAATCCACAGAGAAATAAAATAATTTCAGCACGTAAGAGGTTGTAGAGAAGTCAGATAATGGTGAACGACCCTTTGCGCACATATACATTAGGGATTGGTAAAATGAGTCAAAGTATGGGGTTGTAATGCATGAATGGTACTACTCACTGGGATCGGTGGAGGATTCGACGAGTAGCTTGAACTGTATAAAGGGACTGTGGCCTCCGGGTAGGCCGAGTGACGGTAGTAATTCACTCCATCCGTGTAGCCACCGTATGCTGCAGCTGGTGGGATATGCACTCGACTTGGTTGCGCTACGCGTTTGGCTTCGTGCAGAGCCAGCCGCCAAGCTGTGGCCTCATCTGCCGTTTCAGCACAGAAGACCCAATCGCTGTCCCGAGTGGCAACACCAAACAAACAATTTCGGGGTAGGTCGTTCGGAGGATCCACACGCTTCTGAGGTGAGAGGGAGAACAACAGAACTTAGGTGCAACTGTTTGTTGAGGGCTGGGATAAAAATGCTGAAAGTGAAATCGGACAGACATGTGCAGTGTGCCATTAAAGCCCAATGTATGCAAATGTAGAAGAGGTGGAAGGGAACACAGGGCATGCCGGCATCGGAGATCTTACTTCCTGGTTTGCCATAAATGCCAAAATACAGTGGTCTAAGGTAGGCGATCTAACGGGAAAGGAGGCGAGAGCGGGACAGAGAAGCAAAAAGCAGAACGTACTGTTAATTACAACGTGTCACTAACCCCAACCGTGCACCAGCGTAGTTGCACATATATATATATATATATATATATATATATATATATATATATATATACTGTATTTTAGAGTGAAGTGAATTGTGTAGAACTCTTTCGAAATATGGTGAAAAACGTTATAAAAATTGTCCACCGTGAAGATCGTTATCGTTCTCACGTAACATTTAAAAGATCTGACTCACGGTATTGCAGGACTCACAGATGTGACATGTCATCGCAATTGTGCAATCGTTCTCTGAATCAAATAGTGGTAAAATATAAATCTAAGAACGCCTTGTACTGCTGCACAGATGTTGCCTCCATCACATGTTTAGGCAAACTGTCCCAAATATTTACTACTCTCCGTTCGAAGCACAGTGGGTGGGAAACACGTTCCACATCCGGCCCGAGAAGTTTGTATTTGTCTCCGCGTGTGCTGCATGGCACTCGTAAGTGCAGCATTGGCCTCAGCATGGGGCAGTCACCGAGATGTAGAATACGGTAGGTGATAATGAGGTCGACTAGAACCCGACGGTAGGACAAGGTGTAGAGTTCTAGTTTCTCGCACCAGTCTTTATACCCCAAGCCACGTAAACTCGGGATGAGCCTGGCAGCAACGTGTTGGACCCGTTCGATCTTTTGTGCCTCGCCTCGGATAATCGGAAAGTAAGCGGGCGAACTGTACTCTAGCATTGGTCTAATGATGGAAGAGAAGCGGCGAGTGGCAACCTCTTGAGACCATGCGCCGAAGCTACGTTTGAGCGCCCAAAGCATGCGCAGTCCGTTACGACACAGCCTGTTCGTGTTGTCCACGGACTTCAAATAGTAGCGAGAGAGTACACCTAGGTCTTTCACGGAGGGTGTGGGATATAGCGGTTGGCCGTCAAGGGTGTAGGTTCGGCCGTCAGCACCCTTCCCCAGGCTCATAAATACAGACTTGGCTGGGTTGACGGGAGAAGAACTGCTGCAGACCATGTGGATAGGCGGTTGAGGTCTTGCTGAAGTAGGCCACAGTCGTCGGGAGGGTCAATTTCTCTCTAAATCCTCATGTCGTCCGCAAACAAACACACGACGATCGGAGAAGCTGAGGTAGGTCGTTGATGTGGATCAAGAACAGAGTGGGCCCCAGCAGTGCCTTGAGGTACGCCACTTGTAGAGAGATACCAGTCAGTTAGATGGTCCTCGACCTGTACCATCCACTTTCGTCCAACAAGAAAGTCGCGGATCCCCCGGTGCAGTGAGCCACCGACACCACACATCATGAGTTTGTGAAGGAGAACATCCTGACTGACCTTGTCGAATGCTGTACTGAAATCGATGAATATCACGTCGACAGACTTCCCCTTGCTTATTGCCTTCAACCATTCATGCCTCGTCACAAGCAAGTTCGTAATGCATGAGCGGCCTTGCATAAAACCGTGCTGTGCGGGTGCCAGAACCTCGTTTGACTGTAGCAACTGCACCAATCCCTTCTACACAATTTTCTCAGCAACCTTTGCTAAAACAGGTGTCAGACAAATTGGCCTGTAGTTGTCTACTTTGCTAGGGTCGCCGCCTTTCGGAATAGGCTTCACCACCGAACATTTCCAGTCAATCGGCAACGAACCTTCGGACAGCGACCTGGTGAAAAGGTCAGTCACGACAGGAGAGAGGATGGTCGAAAGTGACTTGAGAACCAGTGGGTGAAGCCCAACAGGTCCGGCAAGTTTGGTGCCGTCAAAGTTGGCGAGTAGTTGACGTACCTCTTCGACGCCGCAATCCGGACTGTCGAGTTCGGTAAAAGCGTCACACGTCGAACTCGGAACAGACACCTGGTTATTCGCAAATACAGAAGCGAAGTGCGCCGCCAACGCGGACGCACGCTCAGTGCTGAAGGTTAGGGGCTGTTCATCCGGACCATCCATCACTGGCACATCACCTGCCGGCTTCAGGCGTCGCTTCACGTAAGCAAAGATACTCTTTGGGGCGGTCTTCGCGGCTATTGCGAGCAGCTCTTTGTAATGTCGGCACTTATTCATTTTTGCACCGTTACAGAGGTTCCGCTGACTTTTATACCCTTCGTAATCATTGGCAGAGCCAGAGAGGAGGAATTTGTCCCACAGTCTGCGCCGCCTCCGAGCCAGATTTCCATACCCATTGTCAAACCAATGAGGCTTAATCGGTCCAACCTTCCGAAATTTCAATGGCACAACTTGGGAACACAATGCTGTCAATCTCACTCTTATAAATATCCAACAGTCTTCCACAGATGCAGGTTGTGACAGAGACCAATTCAGTGGGCTCGCGGCTCGAGCTAGACCATCGAAGTCCATTTTACAGTAGTTGTAAGCTGGTTCCAGCGGATGTGAATACGGCCAAGGTAATTCCATTTCAGCTATGAGCACTGAATGATCGCTTGTAGCCAGGGGCTCCAGGATCCGAACGGCACGCACTAGTTGTTCGTAGCTCGTCAACATCAGGTCGAGATAGGACGGGGTTGAGCGTGTTGTCATGCATGTTGGCTGGCATATGTGTTGCGAGGCACCAGTTTCAAGTACCAAATCCACGAACTTCGCTTCAACCTCACTATATCCAGGCATTGAATGCACATCAGGCCATCGTATCCGAGGACAGTTAAAATCGCCCATAAGTAATAAGTGTGAACGACTCATGTGGGTTCGAAGATGGGACAGCCAATCCAAACAACAACTCAGGGGTTGCGAGAAACTGCGCCCACAAGTAGTTCTCCGCGCCTGAGGTGGATGGGGCACCACAGTAGCTCACACAATCCATCATCACTTCGGTAGGTGCTCACAAGTCTCCCACGCAGGGAAGACCGGATGTAAAGGAAGACATCACCGTGGGCATTCTTCAGTCTATCGCATCGGAAGCACGAGTAACCGTTGAGTTCAAGTGCTTGGGTGTATAACTGAATGCAGCCATGTCTCTGCGAGTCCCACTACGTCTGGCCGCTCAGACGCAACGAAACAACACAGCTCATCGCGCTCGTTCACAACACTGCAAACGTTTGTGAAGGCTACTAGCAGACCGCAGTAGGAGCCACCGGGCGTGCTTGAAGTGTGAGCAGCCTGTTTATCCTGATTCGCAGATTGTTGGAAACAACCAGAAAATTTACGATACGAAGATTTATTTCCCCCTCACCATTGCGTCTTCAGCCCAATAATGGCAGACTTGAGCTGCTCCCTGTCTACTGGGTCCAGGTCTGTAATATATAATAATAAACAATAATCGCCAACTGTAGGCCGTAACGGGCCTTCGATGTTACGCGACCATTCATCATCATCATCATTACACGTTAGCTGGAGGTGGAAAACACCTCAGCTATTGTGCCGCAATACAAAAACAAGAAAAGAGAAAACAAACAGTGGCACGCCCGCTGAGTCCCCAGTAACGGATGGACATCGTTCCGGAGAGCTAACAACTGGCTGCCGTAAAAGAGAGTCATACTATGCCTAACAAGTGAGATCGTGATTGCAGGGGGATGCTAAACAGGAGGGGGATGGACAAAGGAACTCACAACACAAACGCCATTGGGGCCGGCTCCAAGCCATATCAGCAAGTGTATGCAACCAAACGTGTTCACCGTCCTTAGGACCCCAGCCAGGCAGTCGGGATGCACCAACCGACGCCAACTTCGAAGTGAGGGTTTTCAATTCTCTCGACCGAGTCATCACTTGGCCACCCCTCCTCCTCTTCCAACCGCACCCACAACGCGCAAGCAATGCACGTCGTGGGAGTCGGTGTGCTGGCATGCGCAACACGTGGCCCAGCCATCGGAGCCTGGTGCGTGATATAATGCTGCTGAGCGGTTCACTCGCGCTTCCTGCACCAAATACGCGACGTCGAACACGCTCATTGCTCACGCGGTGTTCCCACCAGACATGAGCTAAGCTGCGAAGGCAACGATGATCGAATGTGACGGGCCACTTCATGTCTGTCGACCTGATGGGCCAGGTTTCGCAGCCATATAGGAGAGCTGAACGGACGGCTGCGTTGTAGACTCTGCTCTTCAGGGCGAGAGTAATGTCGCGTTTGCGCCACAGGTGGCGGAGATTGGAAAAAGCACCTCGAGCTTTTGCTATACGGTTCGTAACCTCATCTTCAATCCCACGAGTGCTAATATGGCTGTCCAGGCACTTGAATATCTGAACGACTTCTAGCAGATCACCGCCAAGCGTTAGCGCAGGGTTAGGTCCCTGCCAATCTTGGAGAAGTATTTGCATTTCGATGGAGCAAAACATAGCCCAAAACGATTGACAGCCAGTGCTAATCGGTCCAGTGCTGTTTGGCATGTTTGGGAGCTGTCACAGATTAGGACAATATCGTCCGCATACTCCAAGTCAAGAAGTCGCTCATCAGGAAGTAGCTCCACACCTTCTAAGTCGTGTCCAGTGAACGCTGTTCCCATGACTTCATCAATAGCGAAGTTGAAGAGGAAAGGTGACAGCGGGCATCCTTGTCTCACACCGCTGGTGATACTGAAGGGTGGCGACAGTTTGCCATAAACCCTCACCCTGCCCGAACTATGTGCGTACAGCGCTTTGATAATGTTTACATATTTATCAGGCACACCTTTCCTCAGCAGACAGTCCCAAAGGGCACATCGATCGACTGAGTCGAAGGCACCTTTTATGTCAAGAAACACGATAGAAAAGTTTTATGGCATTACCACAGAGACCGGCAAGCTCCATCTCTTCAGTACATTCA